GTGCTTTCCTATTAGTCTTCCTACCAATATGACCAAGTTGCGAAAACAAGGTCAAACAATTTATATATAATGGAAGAAGACTGCGACCACAAAAAAGGCCACACCATCTTGGTCTTATACTTTCGATTAAAATATAGGATACTTGGACTTAACGGGAATGCTTGCTTGGGAGCCGGAGCATGTCTGAGCGTAGGACCATGCAGACAAGTTCAATGCAAGCATTCTGTTCCACTCGTCGCAGGCGGACTGGCTGTCCATTTTGCGGCCACATACACCGACTCGGCTCAGCTTAGCTCAACTAGTATCGATCCTTATCTCGGGCCTGTGCGGCTCTTGAGCCCGTCCCATTGGTGCATACTCTCAGTCGCTAGTTCAAATCTTGCCTCCATTTTAACTTTTTTCTAAGCCGGGACGAGGTCGTCTCTGTCACGTTCCACTCGGACCGACGTCTCGCCCGCTTTCTTCGGGCCAGCGGACTCAGTTTTCCCGCCAAGGAACAGCAGTAGCAGCTGTCACAATCGCTCCCTCCACACTTTCCACAAGTCCACAGCCGATTTCTACGAGCTCATTCATTCGTGACATTCTGCCATCGTCGCCCGTCGAGTTGGGCTACGAATCGCTTCGCTCAACTTCGACTGACACTAAATATCCTGCCCAGAATAGGTCATTCTTCGTATATTTTTCGTTTTTATGTATATTGCCCATATTAATAGCTCATTTACAACAAAATTGAGCTAACTGACATTTTGGTTTTTTTACCTTAGTCTTCCTGCTCTTCCAGCTTCTTTTTAGTTGGGTTTGATGCTGAAGTCGGCAGGGTTTTTCATTACTTACTTCTCTAGACTTGATGAACCGATACACTTTTCCTCATCGAGGCATTCAGCAGGGCACCAAATCGATTCACAAAAGTTAAGTCTCCATAAAAGTTTCTTTAATTTCTATGTCGGTTTTAGTATTGCTTCGTAGAAAACGTGAGGCTGGCTTTTGTGACTCAGCCGTCTGAGGTCCCTGATGACAGTGTAATAACACATAATAGCGTTCACCCAAATGAGGTGGGTCTAATGACTCTCTATACATTAGATCTGATTCAGTCCTGCCTCCCGAAATTCCCCATCATCGAGGCTTGAGTTGAGTTATGACTTCCATCGGACTTCTCGATACCCCAACGGGATTCTAAACTGGGTTGTTAAGCGGAAACGTGACCGTGGCATAGCGGAGCCTATTACCTATTTTCCATTTTATAAGTAAGTTTTCGAGATTAGCAGTAGATCTTATATTTAAGAACTGTATTCAACCTATTGCGGTCAAGGCGACAAAGGACTGGCAGTCGAGTTTTCTTACAATTTTAGGAGTAGGCCTCATGCTTCCGTATAATTTTACTACCCGAGTTTGGCCCCAGCTCGGATGCTAATAAGTCCTAGGCGAGGTTGAAACGGCAGTCCCCCCTGGATAATAATAAATTTTGGGAAGCAAATATATGTGAAATACAATGCAAATATGAGGCCTGCTCATGTAATGTGGGAAATTTAAACTATAAATATTTAATCAGTTCAAACGATGTGGCGTAAATAGAGCTTCTAGTAATCATTTTATTGTGGGGGAGTCTCACTTCAGCTCTTGCATCACCTTAAACGACTTGGTTTCTTAGTCAAGACTGACTCACTTCCTCTACTCTTCATCCCGAGTACGATTTTTGTATTTCGCTCGCAGCGACTATGCCCAAGATGGATTTGTGA